GATCAATGACACACCCTCTGCTTTTATGAAGAAATAAAGCATTTTTATACATTTTGTGTTACAGTAATCAAGTAACATAGTCATTTTCCTTCCCCCTAATCCAAACACCCAATCCTGTGGGACACCTAATTAATGATGGGCACTACTATGGACAGCCCCAGGTTCCCATGATCTTACAGTATTAGCTAGACATTGTAATCGGTAGGCGTTGGGATCTTTCTATGCATCCTATTCATTCGCGTTCCAAAAGTTTAATGGCTATCCTCCTTTGGATCTTTCTCAGGCTTGTTAATCTGTAAGGACAGCTCAAATTCTATTACCCATTCTATTTTGTTGCTGTCTTTTATCACATTCAGTTTCTCCTTTGATTTTCCCACTGTCCCAATTACATAATGTAAAAGTAAAAAGTCAGTTAGTTTTAACTAATAAGGTTAACTTTATAATAAGCTATAAGGTTAAGTTCTGTTATAAAGTTAATTGTAAGTGTAACGTTATACAACTACTTCTACTGTGAGCATTTTGTAATTTATGGATTATGATCAATCTATCGTTCGGGGCATAAGAGAAGTTGTCCTCTAAGGCTAGTTAATCTTTACATCTAAGCTTAAATTTTTTTGAAGGCTTGTATTATTTCCTGGTTATGTATTGAAACTAACTTCTATGATTAGAATGTTTCAGCTAGAAACTATTTAATATTGCTGGTAGCTTCGAAGAGGTAACTATTTACTACTAATAACTTTAGCTGTTACCCTTGCAGCTAATCTGGCACCTGACCGTATTCATTTATTAGGACAATAATCCTTTCCTTAATAAAGCTGGAATTGGCCATGTATCTGTCCTAAGGCATCTTTTTATCAGAACTGTCTCATACAGTGTTCTTTTACTGACCTTCTAGCAATTCTGTTCAAAGGTACCATTGTATTTCACTGTTTGAGCAGGCTGCTTAGTTTTGCTTAGCTTCTGTCTGCCATTTTTAAGCAGGCATGGGCCACTTAGTGTGTTCAGGTACAAGTCACCTTACATAGCCAGTTACAGGTCACCCCTACAATCCCATAAGCACATCCCTTGGCCCAAAGGCAAATTCAGACACAGATTCTTACATGCAGTTCTCCAATCCAGGAGGAAGAAACACCAAGAGAAATTTCAGACAGTGTAGCAGTCAAGAGACATTCACTGAAGCTTCCAACTCTTCCGAGACCCCAGACATCTTCTGATGTTACTGAAAAGACAAAATCTTGAAATTTCAATCTGTGAGAGCTGGGTACACCCATTCAGGCTGTTTCTATTTGTTCCAACTTAAAAATAACCTGAAGGTCTCACAAGTTGTTTGCTTAAATAGTCTTCACGTAGCCAGTTCAGCACTTCTGCCTTACAACCTCTCTTCAAAACAAAAACCAGGACAAAATAACTCTTTAAGGTGACAGCATTGTTACACCAGCAGGGAATTTCCTAAATTCAAATTGTAATTGCCATATAGGGACAGCTCCACACCATCCATCATCCAATGGTCTGGCAGAATGAGCAGTCCAAACTTTGAAAGCAGGCTTAAAGAAACAGCCTTCAACTTCACTAGGTACCTAACTGTCCCGGTTCCTGTTTGATTATAGGATCACCCCTCATGCAACTACAGAGATAGCTCCAGCAGAGTTACGAATGGGGAGAAGACTCCATACCAGATTAAATCTGATCTTCCTGGACCTGAGGGGGAGGGTAAAACAGCATTGGGAAACCCAGTGCTGGACACAAGACTCCTTTAAGCGAGAGAGACAGTTTACTTCAGGTGAAGACGATTGTTGTAGGATCCATGGGAATGGCCCTGCATTGATAAGATGCATGATCAACATGAGGTCGGGTCCAGTGACAAATAAAGCTTGGGTAGGTGTGACGGTCCTAAATAAGAATGTGGACCATACGAAAGCTGCAAACTTGCAAACGGTGCAGGAGCAAAACATGTCTGTCTCCTCGATTGCCTTTCTGACTGTTCAGAACATGTGAATTCTCCCTCTCCTTCAATCATTGAGGATACCTCAGAATCTGAGGTGGACATGGCAGATGTCACCATCCTGATGCTTTTGAAGAGATGAATGAATTTCTTCTGGGACAATCCAGGCACAAGATGCAAGCTACTGTGTGTTACATGCTACTCATATCAGAGACAAAGTTAGAGGAATCTGACCTGGTGCTAGGAGGAGGAGCTACAAAAAAAGAACCAGCCTAGATCCTCAGACTTGGGGGGACAAATGTAGTGATCATAACGATGTCAGTCAGGTGGACCTCATAGAATATGAGCTCCCTGATTAGACCAGATTAAAAGCCCCAATCAGGGACTCCTGGCTGACAGATATAAACAGGAGTGTCAGAGGCTCTGAGAGAGCTGGATCAGTGTTAAGAACTCTCCATACGTCAAAACGAGTGTCTTGGTGATGGGATACTGGCCTCTGTGGAGTTATTTCAGTGACCGTCGATGGTTGTGCCAGCATTTGTTGCCTGTCCATAGTTGCCCTTGAGAAAGTGGTGGTGAGCTGCCTTATTCAACCACTGCGGTCCCCAAGCTGTAGGGTGACCCACAATGCCGTTAATCATTTTCCACAATTTGTAAAAGTAGGATCCGTCAGAAATGGGACAAGACTTTCAGATAAAGTTCACATCCATCGTTTTTTGATGGCACACAGAATCTGTCCAACTTTTCAATTTCCAATGAAAAATACAAACTTGTCAAAATTAGGTCAAATCATAATATTCATTTTTAAGGACATATTAATTGCTGCAATTACCAGTATCTCTCTGTTGCTGTAACCTAACCATTACAAGTATATAATCTCAATTTTTTTCAGTCTTAATTGGTGTATGAGATCTTAAATTTCACTTTTTAAAATATTTTTCTTGGTTTTTTTTCCATCTCTCTCAGTTCAATGGCTTTGTTCCCTGCTCTTTAGTTTTCCTGCCATACCTAATTTAATATTGAACTTCCTTGTTGACAGAATAAGTGAACAGTGATGCTCAGAAAACTGAAAGACAAGGTAAGGATGTTAGGGATGAATTTTGTAAGTGACATCACCACATGACCAAAAGTTCTTATTAGGCTGGCAGCTCTGCGAGGTGGGCCACCATCCTCAGTGGGATTATGATCCCAGCAATAATAGTCCACTGGTGGAACAACAATCCGATTAAGAACAGAAGTCCACCTCCAACAATTGCTCATCCAAAAAGAGGCTGGAACCTCAAGCCGATTCAGCCGCATCGTCACTAACAGTAACCACTGCTGAGGCCTGCAGATGAAGGAGAGGCTGCCTCCATGGCAAGGTGTCCACAAAGACTGGATAGGTTTGTTGTCATAGGCCAGAACCAGAGGGACAGGGACCAACAATTGGCAGAATATGTGGGCAGCCATATTGATTGAGCCTTAGCTGTGAGGTAGCCTTTCCTGTGCAGGGGCCTCTCTGTGGATTGGGAAATGAACATTCAAGAAACATCTTCCATCACTACAATATCAACAGGGAATCTTCCCACATGACAAGCATCCCTTCGAATATGGACAAAGTTCCAGCTGGCGTGGGAAATTGGCTTCAATTATGCTATTAATTGGCACAATTGACCACTTGACAGATTCCTATGCCATGGCAATAGAGCATTCCCTTTGAGCACTGATTCCCTCATGAGGGTCTATAGCAGTTCAAGAAGGCAACTCAGTACCATCTTTCCAGGACAATCAGGGAGTGCCTATAAATGCCGATTTGGTCAGCAATGCCCACATCACAAGAATAAATAGAAAACTATATTGCCAGACTTCCAGCCTCTGAACCAGCCTCTGTAGCGCTGGTAAAATCTAGCCTCTATTGAACCTGAAATTGGGCTGTCAATTGCCCATGTTATGCCTGCAAAAGGGTCACAACAATTTTTACTTCTTGAAAGTGCAGCTTGGAATGATTTACAAAAGGTTGCACTTTTTCTCTCAAATATTTAACATGCACTTAATGGACGCAAATAACTTTGATATTTAGTTGCATTATTAATAGCAATACAATGATTATCTGATCTTGCTATGACAGACCAGAAATATTATCAATTAACAGATAAAATGTGAAGTACTTTAGTCTTTTTAAAAATGGAACTGGACATTTCATATAAAGAAATGTTTCGGATTTTATATTCATGACTTGTGGTTTATTGTGTCTATTGAGCTGAAGGCTTACAGTTCGTAGAAGAGTCAGTAAATTAAACACACCGGCAAGCAAAAAGCAGAAAGTCTTTATTAATAAAATCTAAATCTATTAAAACTCCCTTATGAGCAGTAATTAGAGATTTTTAGATTTAGTAAATGTTCAATGGCCCCATGATAGCCAGTAATTAGGCATAAGGTCGAATTTGAAATTTCCACCTAATTTCAGTTACAGATGGGAACAGGAAATAGAGGAGAAAGCAGGGTCAGTGATAATAATGTGATTCCTTAATAGGATAGGAGTCATTTTCGGAATGGATAATGTGGATAATGGAAAATGGACACTTAACTTGGTAACACTGAGCTCCTTTAGTCTTCATTGTTCCCTCCCCATTATGGTCATTCATTCAGCTGCCGTGTGCCTGTTTTCTGCAACACTATCTGGTTTCCTACATCTTGTACCTCTTTCCTCCTGTCAAAATCTCCATTGAACACTCATTAATGGGTCTTGCCTTCAGTTCTTCAAATGTAATCTTCCATTCACATGCTGAACAATCACCATTCCTTCTTCATAAAGTGCTTGAGATAGATTCCTTGCCTGAGAGAAGTAAAATAAAATAGCTTTTGCAGCATCATCAACAGCTTTTCTTCCTGACCACTTGAGATGTGGCAGGAGACCATTTGTCACAGTCTTAATAAGAATTGGATATATGACATATCGGGACATAAATATAAATTCGAAGGTGAAAAGTGGGAGTTAAGAAAATTGACTGTTATAGGAGTATACTAATTTGATTGTGTTTGCTTTCTGTCTCTGATTAATTTTGTTTTCTATTGATAGCGCCTTCAATGCCACGATACGATACAGATGCGCCTTTGAATGAGTCGGACACAACCATCACAGTCCTGTTGAAGCCAGCTCAATCAAGAGGAGCTCCGATCAGGTAGAATAATCTAAGAAAATTATAGCAGCTCTGAGAAGCAAATTTTGAAGACAAGAATTTGTCATTCTGAATCTTTCAGAAAAAGGAGGCCATCTCGCCCACTGAATTTGCTCCACCATTCAATAATTTCATGGCTGATATGACTGTGCCCTTAACCTTAATTTTAGGCTATGTTCCATTTGAATTTTGTTTTGCATCTCTGGTTATTTTATAAAAATATGAGTTAAAGTGGGACATTTGAACAGACTAATATATTTTACTCAACCAATTTTATCTGAGTATACATATAGCAGTGAAACTTTGATGCATTGTCAAAACTTCATTGAAGAACTTGTTTCTTCCAGACTAAACACCCAACTTGACTTTTCTGTAGCAAATTGCACTCAAGATATAAATATATTGTCATCATAGCACTGCTCAAAAAAGGTGATTGTGAAGTGACATAATAAACACAATGCTTTTGTGTTAAGTTCAGTACATACAGTGCCTCTGAAAATGACAAATGAATACTAAATTAAGTGCTTTGCAAATGTAATTATATTACAACAATGGTTCATTTGTTGAATTAAAATGCACTTGGCATCAACAAAGCACAAGTAGAATTCTATATCAAGGAAACAATTAATGAGTTATAAATTCGCTTCCCACAAAATCATGTTTCCAAAATATCTTGGTGAACACGTAAACACAGCTGTTAACTGGAATAACAAATCATACTTGGAGTTCTCCAAATAGTTTTTGCAAAGTAACAAAAATATTGGATTTTTTAAAACCTCCCCTTTTGGTCAGCCATTACTTAAGTCCAAAATGAGGATGCTTTACGCGTTTATAATATAGATAGTATATTTTGTTGAAGATCTGTGTTATCAAATTTAATTTTGTGGCCAAATACATGTACTATTTGCTATTGTGGGCTTCATTTGCACTGCAGCTGTTGTGCCTGAGTGATGTAGCTCACTGGTGACATCACCATGGGAATCCCCAAAAAATCCCTTTTATACACGGTTTTTATTGAGAATGAGGAGGGCTAGTTCAACCAAGCTGAAGCAAAAGAGAATGAAACAGTAGTGTCCTCTGAGATGTGACTGACCACCCCACATAATACAACTACAGACCACCTGGATCTTTTGAAGATCTTAATGTTTCTGATTTACTAATGTGGGCTTCATCGAGGAGCCAGTAGGAGAGCAATGCAGCTTGCCCATGAACATCTACAAGCGAGATGATCATCTGGGAAAATGGAAGTAGTGACTGCATTGACATTTAACTCCACTGGCTTATTTTGAGCAACCATATGGATCTGTAAAATAGGGTTTATTTTTAAATCATCAATATGCATGTTGGAAATTTTAATATGGCAGCAGAGCAGAGTCGAGTTTTATTGCATTCATAGATTATCCAAAGAACAGAGTGCAATAGGCTCATGTTATTTTAAATTCCTGGCATTAACTTCCTCAACATTTTTATTAGACAGGAGTACCACTCACTTCATTTTCAGATGGTGTGTGATACCAAATTAAGTTGCTTTTATTTGCTGTAAATTGTAAGATTGCAGTCAGCTTTAGGAGTTCTGTCATCCACGAGTCTTTTGAAGCATTTAATTTAATCAATAGAAAGTCGTGGGTACCAATGCCTTTGTATCCAACTTGCAACAAAAGTTAAGGAGTACTATAATGAAATACACGCTGCTCCAGAGTGATCATTGTCAGAACTATTGGGGTTTGAAAAGAATACTTCCATTGCCTTAAGAAGTCACCAATACTTTTCAATATACTCCAGATCACGTCTCCTGCAAGTTTAAATGGTTGTAGCCTGAGCAACTTTGATATTCAAAAAGTCCTGGGCAGAAAGATTCATCCGAGAGATAGTCATACCTGCACAGTGAATGACGAATCAAGAGGACAGCTGCAATGAGAACACCTCAGTGACATTCGCAAGGGCCATCAAATCTTCTTATTAATGTGCTCTCATCTATTTAGTGCTCAATCTTTATCACCATTGACATAATATATTCACCATAACATTGAAATAAATGACACATTCTTCAATCTCATGCACATTTTACAACATAAAATAAGATCACATTGCACAGCTTGGTAAGACTGTGCCAACTGATTGCATAAATCAAGAAGGGCAGAAATACACATTTTCCTGTAAAACCATGCTTTGCATGAATAACAAAGCATGACGCAGTGTGTTTCCCTCTTTCATCACCTGATATGCCATCACTGAGATTTGAAAGTCAGTGCAGTAATCTAGTAGAGAAAAAGAAATGAAAGAACTGTGGATATTGGAAATCAGAAATTGCTGGAGAATCTCAACAGGGATGGCAGCATCAATGGAGTGGAATCAGAGTTAATTTATCAGGTCCAGTGACCTTTCTCCAGAACTGGAGTCAAAGGCATTGTTCACTCTCAGTCCTGGAGTTCTGGCTACAGTCATTCGGGTAATTAGTGCAATCATTGGCCAGTGCTCTGTGGCCTTACAGACCAGAGATTGGTCAGTGCTGGGATTACAGGTAAATCAGTTGGAGAACTGCACACCGATCAGTAAGGGGACCGGTCTGTCCTTTTTGTAAATTCACTCATGGGACATAGGCTTCATTGCCTGGGCCAGCATTTATTGCCCATCCCTAGTTGCCCTTGAGAAGGTGGTGCTGAGCTGTAAGTAGACCCATAATGTCCTTATGGAGTGAATTCCAGGATTTTGACCCAGCGTTATTGAAGGAATGATGACAGGAAGTCAGGATGGTGAGAGACTTGAAGGGGATCTTGTAGGTGGCATTCCCATGTATCTGCTGCCCTTATCCTTCTAGATGGAAGTGGTTGTGGGTTTGGAAGGTGCTGTCTAAGAATCTGTGATGAATTTCTGCAGTGCCAGTTGTAAGTAGTACATACTGCTACACTGAGCATCAGTAGTTAAGGAAGTGAATACTCATTGATGTAGTGCAAATCAAGCGGACTGCTTTCTCCGGGATGTTGTCAAGCTCCTTAAGTGTTGTTGGAGCTGCATCCACCCAGGCAAGCGGGGAATAGCCTATCACTCTGCTGATCAATGCCTTGTGGATGATGGACAGGATTTGGGGAGTCAGGATGTGAGTTACTTGCTGCAATATTCCAAGCCTCTGATCTGCTATTGTGGCCACTGTATTTATATGGTGAGTCCATTTGACTTTCTGGTCAATAGGAACCTCCAAAATGTTGATAGTGGGGTAATTCAGTGATGGTAACACCGTTGAATGTCAAGGAGTAGTGGTTAGATTATCTCTTATTGGAGATGGTCATAGCCTGGCATTTGTGTGGTGCGAATGTTACTTGCTACTCATCAGCCCGCACCTGGATATTTTCCATGTCTTGCTGCATTTGAACATGGACAGCTTCTCAGCATGTGAGGAGCTGTGAAGAGTGCTGAATATTTTGCAATCATTGGCGAACAACCCACTTCTGATCTTATGATGGAGGGAAGGCCATTGGTTAAGCAACTGAAGATGGTTGGGCCTAGGACATAACGCTGCAGAACTTCTGCAGAGATGCCCTGAAGCTGAAGTGACTGACCTTCAACAATCACAAACCATCTTCCTATGTGCTAGGTGTGACTCCAACCAGTGGAGAGTTTGCCACAGATACCCATTGACTCCAGTTTTGCTCAGGCTCCTTAATGCTAACTGTCAAACGTGGCCTTTATGTCAAGGGCAGTCACTGTCACTTCACCTCTTTTGTCCATGTTTGAACCAAGGCTGTAATGAGTTCAAGAGTTGGGTGGCCCTGGTGGAATCCAAGCTAGATGTCAGTGAACAGGTTATTGCTAAGCAGGGACTGCATGATAGCACTGTTGCTGATATAGTGGTGTGATTTTAAATCTTCCATCTTCATTTGAATCGCAACTTTGCAATAAACACGAAAATTATCTGTTAGTGCACGCTGAGTGGATGGATGACATTTGTTTTGGTTTGTCTGTAGGGGAGGATTGCACTTGTGAACAATGTGAGGCCCTTCAACTGGCAATTGTCTTAACTGGACATTCATAAATGTGCACCTCATGCATTGACTAACGAAGATATTATTAAGCTGGAGAGGGTTCAGAAGAGATTTACCAGGATGTTGCTGGGTATGGAAGGTTTGAGTTCTGAAGAAAGGCTGGAGAGGCTGAGGCTTTTTTCACTGGAGCATAGGAGGTTGAGAGGTGAAGTTTATAAAACCATGAGGGATATAGATAAGGTTAATGGTAGGTGTCTTTTCCCTAGGATGGGGGATTTCAAGACGAGGGGGCATATTTTTAAGATGTGAGGAGAGGGATTTAAAAAAGACATAGGAGCAAATTGTTTTCACAGAGAATGGCTCATGTGTGGAATGAACTTCTTGAGGAAGTGGTAAATATGGGCACAATTACTACTTTTAAAAGACATTTGGATAAGTATGTGAATAGGAAAGATTTGAAAAGATATGGGCCAGGAGCAGGCAGGCGGGACTAGTTTAGTTTGGGATTATGTTTGGCGTGGACTGGTTGGACTGAAGGGTCTGTTTCCATGCTGTATGACTTTATGACTCTATGTAGGTTAGAAATCCTGACCACAGGCAATCTTGACCATGTCAATGACCATGACAAGTTATCCCAATAAGCTCAGTGAGGCAGGAGTGATCACAGGTGACCCCTAAATTGCCTCTTGTGGTTGACAATTCCCAAACATATTCCAAAAGCTTGCAAGATGGTGCAAAGCTGCTTTCCTCTCACATTGAACTGCAAGTATGTGACAACTTGGACTTTTATATCAAATATTGTATTTGTTTGAATGAGTTAGGGTTGGGGGAGTGCGAACAATGTTTCAGCAATTCTATTACCCTTATAATTTTCTAGAGTATTTTGGTGCTGCATTCATCTGAATCAGGTCTAATATGTTAGAACTCCATGGAGAGACATCCATGGCCCTCCTTGTTGGAAGGCTCCATGTCTGACTGTATTGGTAAAGTTTCATTTGTTCTATGTTCTTTTTATTGAACCAA